TGTCCATCTTTCGAAGTGTTCGGTTGCGACCTCCTAATGACATATTGGCGTCTCCTGCTTGGTGAGCCGTCGGTCTTTGGGTTGGCGTAGCCGGCGCTGTTTGCATGGGCTCATGAGCTCTAAGAGCAGCAGTTTTTTGGCTTTGCATCTCGGTAACAGCAGCGGCAACTCGATTTGCCATCTCATTTACTTGCTACACACTTGCAGCGTTCTGCTGGAGTTCATGGAGAGCAAGAGCCGTATAATTAATAGTTGTAGCTGTCTGTTCCGCAAAAGCCTGCATCTGGCTTACAATCTCAGTGTTCTGATTCGCCGTTTCTTGATTCCTCTCGACAACACCAGACAGCAGTTGAATGCCATCGAGCACGCGATCAAGCCGTTCGTTGACTTGACCCAGGCGACCATCGAGTTCTGCTAATGACTCTTCAACAGCATTTATGCGATCCGTATTGTAGGACTCGCGGTTGCCATCCTCCAACAGTCGGTGACTAGGCGCAGAGTCACTGTGGCCCAACCGGGTGGCAACACGTCGTATTGGTTCCATCTTTTGAGAGTTGGTCGTTGAATCTGCAAACTCTACTATGTCGCAATAGTGTGTAGCTCTATTGGATGGTACCACTTAGGAAGCTTAGCACTGAAGGACTCGGGCGAATGAGGGCCGTCGACGTTCGACTTTGCAGTGTTGTACTTGTTGCGTTGTTGAAAAATTGAGAACTGATTGTTGTTTTAGCCACTACATCGTACTCCTATGGACTACTTGAGTGGCTAGATGTACAGTATGCATATGTAGCAGTCTTGTGGTCTCAGGCTCCTGCAGATCCAGTTGGTTGCTGTTTCAAACTGCAAGTTCAATAGGTTTTTCCACACGTTGAGGATTTTCGCGAGAATTGAAACCACAGATAGTGGCCGATGATGCCGATTTCCTTTGACCGGCTGATCTCGCGACAGTTGGCGGTGACGGAGGTCGCGATGCCATGAAATATTAGAGTCACATCATGCAACTCTAATAGTTGGGTGGATATCGGTGTGGCTACGATCGATGAAGCCGAGGACATGTTTCGTTAGGACAAGCCAAACAAGTGTAATATATGAATATCATAATTGTTATATTCTCGCACAATATGTGCTGCAAATGCTGCACACAGATCCAGCTGCCATTGCTTTCACCGACGCTAAGGATCATCCTAATGCAGGAGCGTTACTGCCGCTACTTGCCCTTCCAAATAAAAAGACCAGTGAACCAGCAAGCAGATTAGAGATAAATGGTAGGTAATCTTATCGTTGGCGCTCTTGTGGCTTATGGCGCAGACAAGGGCACTAACAACAAGATCCATCACGCATGACTTGGTTGAAATTGGAACTCCCAATGACGCGAATTTGTCCAATCACACAACATTACTTCAGCGTTACCACTTCAGACTACGGGATCTCGACACAAGTCCCTAACTGCAAAACCAGAACATAAACTGAAATCCGTGATTAGATACACCTTACACCCTTATAGCTTTCCCTCCGTATAGCCTGTATGATTGATAGACTGACATGTAGTCCATACATGCAACTAACACTTCGATATATCTGGATGTTCAATTCTTGGTCGATGTTGGATCGTAGTCATTACCGAATTCTTGTCCTCGTCGAGCGTCATGCGGAGAAACTTGTGAAATTCGCTGGTAACTGACGGTGCTGCATTCATGAGGACTGGGAATTGGCGAATACAAACTTCGGCTTGAGTTCCAGGTCCATCCGGCAGTGCTCGCACACTGCCCCATCCAGTAAGAGTTGAATGCATCCCACGAAAAATACCCTCACCTTCTGTGTACACTTTCCAGATACAGACAACTCGATCCTCTTCACAAAACTGACGAATAACACGCCGCTGAATCACAGAAACAGGTGTTCCACTTGCCAATGTCCGGACCAGGCGGTGTCTCATCGCAAATGTAGTGTTGGGATGACCAAGTCCGTCGTAAATCTGACGATCGCGCTGGTGTAGCTCAAATTCAAACGCTTTCCAGATCGCAGCAAGAGCTTTGTCCACAGTTAAAGGATGTGCAAATTTATGCAGTTTTTGATGGTACTCCAACTCGCCACTTTCGTTGCACCAGTGCGTTGTGTTTACCTCCCCCAAAGGCATAGTTGACAGACCCGTTCGATTCATTACATCGTCGAAACGGGCATAGCACGCGTCGATCTTTTGAAGAAGCGAAGTAAACAGAGGCAGATCCGACATCTCGAGCGGAGGCTCCATCGTGTCACTGGCTTTAGAGTCCTTCATGTTGATATGGAGCCTAGCAGGCTTTTGTCGAAGGTGGAGCAACCCGCGCAGGTTGTCAATATACGCCGCTTGAGTATTTGCCATCATCGTCAACCGCCTCTGCTCAGCCTCCGATCTCTGTCGCTCCTCACGCTGTACCAGAGCAATCTCCTTCCAAATGGAAAATTGGTGGCTTGAAGCAGAGTGTTTAACTTCTTTGCTGAGTTGCAGATTCTTGAGTTGCAGACTCAAAATATCGCTCATTCGTCGTAGGCTTTCGATTTCATCTTTGATACGTTGGCGCTGCTTGCGTCGTCGAAGTTTTTCCTTCTCGCGGTAGAGTTTTAATGCGTTGATAGCAGCTTCGCCGCTGATACCACCGCCTCGAGCATTCACGGGGGAGGCTGCTCCGCGTAGTTCGGGTATCTCTTGAATGTCGCTTTCTTCGACGTTGTCAGTTGAATACACCTCCAGGAACTGTGCCGTCGCCATAAAGAAGGCGGGATCGGTCAGTATTTCAGCTCTTGATTGCATGTTGCATGAATGAATTCTCGGTTAGCTGGCAGAACGGGAACTGTATGGAGCAGTGCTGTCAGACTGACAAAGCGAGCAAATGTAGTCACTGCGAGAAAGAGAACACTCTACAACGTTATTTACGTAATGAAGACGTGAGCACAATGCCCAGTGTACTAACTGACCGGAGATTCAGACAGTTATTAATAACACACTTGAAAATTTTCTGGCCGTGATTAGTTCCGTGCGTATTCATATGTGTCGCAGCTGACGTCAAGGTTGATTTGCTTTGAGATTTGTTTTTTTTTACATGTACATAGTATTGTGTGCTTTCAAAAAAAAGAAGAATACATTCCTGAGGATATGAAATAGAGAGATTGTATTAAATATAGTGCCTCGCAGGAGCGACGTCGACGTTTGTGATATGACCTCCAACGCCTGTTTTCCAGCTGTAGCATCTACCGAGTACGTTTGGTTAATATCAAGCTGGAGTCAATTCGTATTCACTATTAGGAAAAAGAAGTATGAATTCATCGACAAAATGATATCGTTATGCTGCTACTATTTAGTCACCTAACAACAGAACTAGGATTTGAACTAGGTGTCGAGTGAGATACACTACATGGCAGATTATCTCGAAATTCACATTTTATCGGCATCTCAGTTATCGATGTTGCTGTCCAAAGAACATGTTATACTT